TCACACCGCTTCCCTCCCTCTCCCATTTTAGTGAGGCGGCAACCGAGGCTTGGAAGTCAGTGGCGGAGCGGGAAGATGGCACCAGGTCATCTGATCTGGGGGAATGAGCAAGGAGCCAGGGGTGGGGGGACGCAGCTTGAGCGGGGGTGGGGGGGGGTGGCTTGGCAGGGCCGCGGATGCGCATCTGTCTTGCCTCTCCCCTCACCACCCCCTATCGCAGGTGGGCGGAGCCCAGCTTCCCGGCAGCGAGTGCACCAGGTGTGCAGGGCCACCGGTGGCCCTAGCGCAGCAAGCGTGCCCGCGGGGCGTGGGCGAGGGACCCAGACGGGCGGAGCCCCACGCCCATCCTCCCTCCCACCCGCCCTTTCTCCCGTGGCTGGTGGCAGGTGAGTGGGTGTCGAGGAACCGCCGTGCAGCGGAGAAAACAGGACGCCGCAGAAATCAGATTACTCACCTGCAGCTGCGAGTACCCAGGGCTAATAAAAGCTGAGTTTCCTGTTGTTTCTTTATTACCACCCCTGCCTCCCCCAGCCCCAGGCGCTCCCAGCTGCAGCCAGAGCCCTAACTGATTGCCAGAAACCAGTAGCTTGGGGGTCCAGGACCACTTCCCACCCTGAAATTCCAAGGGTGCAGCACAGGATTGGGTTAATGCTGCCTCGGGGTGGAACTCCTGCAGGGGAATCACCTAGGGTGACAGTTGCCAAAACAGGTCCCCAGGCACTGCTTTGCACCTGCTGAATCCGAATCTGCAGTTGGGGCCTAAGAGCTGCCAGTTCATACCAATCTCTGGCGTTTTGTATGCAGGCTAAAGTGGAGACTTCATCAAGTTCAGGTACTGGAGGTTCAGATGATGCGAATTTGTTTTTCCTGACTGCCACCCCCAGTTAGAGATGAAACCTATCCCTCAAAATGGCCAAGTAAATCTCTGGCCTCAGGGCCTCAGTTCACTCACTTGTTTATTGGGGATGAACATGGTATTTCTTGGGACTGAAAGGAGGCTCAACTGAATTCCTGTATTTTGCACAATTCCTGCTGGTTGCTCATGGAGTTTGTGGACCAACCAGGAGCAGACATTGAACAAACGGGAGAAGGGAGACCCGAGAGGTGGGCGGGAGGGACGGGGGCTGTGGGAGGCGGTGGAGAGGCCACGGACTGCTCTGGGAACGCTGAGAGCCCCTCACCACGCAGCAGCCCCCACCGCGCCGGGAAACATTCCTGCCCAGAGCACTGGCAGCCCCCGAACCAGGCCTGGTGGCTTCTTCTCAGCCCCTCTGTGACATCTGACTCTGAGCGGGCCACACCCTCTGGCTCCACGCTCTGCCCCCTCAGCGTCAGGGAGACCTGGCTTCTCTATTTCCACCACCTCCCTCCACAGCAGCTCCTTTGGGATCACCCCGGCTCCTCCTCCGCCTGCCCGTGGGGTCAGAGGCATCGCCGGCTGCACCCCTCCACACCCGTCCTGGACAACCTCACCACTCCCAGTCGCCTTCTCTGAGCTAAGCTTCGCCCTGAGCTCCCAGTACGTAAACGCGGGGCCCCTTAGGTGCCTCACTTTGCACTTACTAACTCCCAAGTGCCCCACCTCAGCTTGACCAACGCTGAACCCATCATCTCCATCTCCCCTCCAACCTCTCTCTCCTTCTGGGTTCCCCACCTCAGGGCATCACATCTGGGGCCTGTCCCAAGTGACTTCAGCCCCTCTGCTCCCACATACAGTGTCCCCTGCAATCAATTTTCTCTCTCTGAATGCTCTAGAATCCGTCCCCTTCCTTCCAGTCCTCCAGTCCCTGTGGACTCTAAACCCCTAGTTCAGGACTCCACAATCTCTCCCCTAGATTATTTTAACAGCCTCTTAAACAGCCTTCCTGGTTCTGGTCCTTTTTTTAAATTGGTTTTTACAGAGAGAGGGAGGGAGAGAAGAGGGAGCAAGAAATACTGATGTGAGAGAGAAGCATCGATTGGCTGCCTCCTGTCTGCACCCGGACTGGGGATTGTATGTGCCCAGGCCAGGGACCGAACCCGCAACCTAGGTGTGTGCCCTCACTGGGAATGGAACCCACAATCTTCCTGCCATAGGATGACGCTCCAACCAACTGAGCCACGCTGGCCAGGCCCTGGGTCCCGCCTTCTCCCTCAGTTTAGCCAGAGGGATCTTTCTGAGGCACAAATGCTGTCCCTGTCAAACCTTTAGACCTTCACTGACCCCTCAGAGCCTTCAGGACACAGCCCTTCTTCTCCTATTTGGTGCTCACCCGGCAGGGTGGCCCCTCCTCTCCACCCCCGGCGTCAGCGCTTTGCACAAACAGGCACATTCATCGAGCTCGTACTAAGGGCTCAGTATCAGGCAGGCCAGTTAGCTTTACTGCTTTACCTCAGCCTCTTAGCTTTCCTGTTCCCGACTCACCAATCTGAGGAAGTGGGAGGTTGGGACACTTGCCCAAGGTCACACAGCTAGTAAGCAGCAGAGTGGGATTCGTACCCAGGTCTCTCTGGCTGCAAAGCTGGTGCTCTTCGCTGCTCGGATCTGAAGCCACTTCCTCCCGGCCGCATCCTATTCTCATTTGTTGTAGCTTCCCTGGTGCCTAAGAGGGGGCCTCGCATATGGTGGACGCTTGTGGAATGAACAGTCAACTCTGTCCACACTCGCATTTGACTCTTACAACAACCCTGGAGCTACAGAAGAGTGAATTTTATATTACGCAATATTTGATGAACACAAAAAATGTGATGAATGTCTGGTTTATGGAAACAAACATCTGTGAAACCACCACCTTGGCTCAGGAACTTGAACTTCACCAGCATTGTTGAAGCCACCTGTGTTCCTCTCTAATTCTGTTCCTTGCCTCACTCCAAAGGTCAACACAATACAACCCTGAATTTTGTGGTCCCCATTCATTGCTTTGGAATAAAAAGACAGTGTCTCCATATGGAGATGGATCCTATACAACATATTGTTTTGTTTGCTTTTTGGCCTTTATATCAATAGTATAATGTATACACATTTCTCCTTGGCTTAATTTTTTTCATGCATTGCTATGTTTCTACACCACATACACGATTTTGCATTATTTACCCAGCATTCATTTTTTTCAACTGCATAATGCTCCGTTGTATAAATAAGCCTCAGTTACCTTCACCATTCTCCAGTCAATGGGTCTGTAGGTTGTTTTGCCATGATCGTTTTTAAAAAGTGTTTTACTTATTTATTTTTAGAGAGAAGGGAAGAGAGGAAGAGAGAGAAGGAGAGAAAGAGCCATGTGAGAGAGAAACATCAATCAGTTGCCTCTTGCACACACCACAACCGGGGACCAAACCTGCAACCCCAGCTGCAACCCAGGCTTGTGCCCTGATGAGGAACGAACCAGCGACCTTTTGCTTTGTGGTATGACGTCCACCCAACTGAGCCACACAGGACAGGGCAGGTCTATGATCATTCTTACAGCGTGTCTCCTGGTGCACACGTGTCGGAGTTTCTCTAAGCTACACACCCAAGGTGGAAGTTGGGCGTCATCAGGAGTGCACACGTGCAGCCGTGCGAGTGCTGCCAGGCGGATTTCCAGAGCGCTAGTGCCGAAGAACACTCGCCCCCTCCTCTGCCGCGGTGGACGGGAGTTCCAGTTGCCCCACAGCCTCGCCGGCACTTAGTGTGATCATCGTCCCTGACAGTCAGTTCCCATCTGCATTTCCTTAATGAGATGAAGCATCTTTTCATTTGTTTATTTTGCACGCTGGTTTTTTTTCAGTGGATGTCCTGTTCAGGCCTTTTGCCCACTTTTTAAAAAGCAGTTTTTAGTTATCTCCTATTGCTCTGAAGCACTCTCAGGGGAGTTTTCTGTTTCCTAACAGAGTGGGAATCTGAGACCCAGGTCCGCAGGAGACACAGCTGGGTCCCAAACCCACCTCTCTCTGATCCAGGGCCCTTTGTCCCAAGCTCTCGCCTCTCACCCATTCATTCACTCCTCGCATGTCTACCGACAGCCTCAGTAAGCACTGGAGAGGGAGCGGAGAGTCGTGGGTGAGAGTGTGGACAATGGAGCCCCTCTGCCTGGACTCTGGCCTCTGCTCTGCTACTCACTGGCCGTGACCGAGGGGGAGGGGTTTCTAACAAACCGTTCCTTAGCTTCCTTACCTATAAAACAAAGAGGTAACAGTACCTCTCCTACAGGGTTAATGTGCAGGGACTGAATGAGTTAATTCATACAAAAGCAGTTAGGACTATTCCCAGCACGGTCAGTGCTGAATGAACAGTACATGACAGGCACCATGCCAGCAGGGTACTTGTTCTGGGGACAGGGGGGTGACAAGACAGACAAGGACACTGCCCTCATGGAGCTCACTGTCCAGTGGAAGGAGGTGGAGACCAAAAAAACCTAATTAATTAGTTAATTAATTAATTAATGTGGTTTGTGATAAGGGCAAGGGAGAAAACCAAAAAGGGACAAGAGAGACTCACCGGGCACTGACTCAGCTGTGTGGTCACACAGGGAAAGCCCTAGGAAGCAGGTGACCTTTAGGCTGAGGTCTGGAGGATGAGTAAGAGCTGCCCGGGCGAAAAGCAGCCCGCCAGAGCACAGGGTAGACACTCGGAGGCAGGAGGAGCGCCGAGTCTCCAGCAGGAGGGGGGAGAGCAGCGCAGCCGGGCGGGGGGGGGGGGTCAGGGTGGGGAGTCTGAGCTTTGCTCTGAGGGCAGCGAGGGGTTGTGGACCACGGATGGCTGTGACCTTGTTTACGTTTTTAGAAGGTCACTTCAACAGCCATGTAACGATCGACTATCTATGAATTCATCTAAATACTTCTCTAAATGCTAGTAAAAATACTAGTATTTTTAGTCAGTGCCCTTTCCGTGCAAAGCAAAACTTCCCTTTATTGATCTTAAATGCACTGTTTCGGGGTTTCAAGGGGAGCCCCCTTCTGCCCTGTATGTGAAGGTTATCAGCCCCACGTGAGCTCTCTGGTCAGTGTCTTTACAGAGGTGGGAAGATCCCTCAGGTGGCACTTACCTGCCCAGTGATGGCTGCCCACCTGTAAACAAAAGTAACAGGGCAGCTCCCTCAGAGCAGCTGCGAGGACGCGGTGGGGGCGGGCTGACAGCTGGGAGCAACCCAAACAGGCCAGTTCCCAGGAAGATGATGAAGGCAGGAAGAAGATGCTGCCAGACGAGGAGGGTGGGCGGGTGTCGCTGGACCTCCCAGCCTGACCTGAGAAGTGAAACAGAGGCGGGGAAACACGCCGGTGAGTAAGGCGGCTGGGCCAGGTGATCTGCGGGGGCCTGCCCAGCTCCGATGCGGGGGGCTTCTCTCAGCTGGACCCTTGTTCACTTTTCAGCCTGTCCAGACTACTCACCCGCTCTCCTGAAGTCCGGTGGTCCCCTAGGGACACATGGAGAGAGATGGAGTAGCACTGTGGAGCGGAAACTGGCCCGGAGGCCTGAGGTTCTAGGGGTGCCACCTACAGTGAGGTCCTCATCACAGTGCATCGAACTAACACACAGCTTAGAACCCACGTAGAAGGAGAGAAAGGAGAGCAACACGCACAAGTCACTGCTGCGGAGTTACACTCCCACCCCACCCCGTGAGCTCCCACACCTTGATGGGGACGTGACACACTGCTGACATACCGGGGACTTGCCACAGTCCCCCAGTTGGGCCCAGTTTCCCAACGCCCAGCAGAGTGTGGGCTCTTTCCATGCCATGTGTGAGCCAGGCGTTCAAAGGCTTTTAATACTCTGTGGCCCTAAGCACAAGCCCACCGTTTCATCTGGCGGCCCACGAAAGCCATGGCTCTCTGTAACGACACCAGAGAAAGAACCCGCCGTTTCCACTGGGGAAAGAGAAGCAAGGGGAGGAACCCTCCCCAGACGCCCAGCTCGCCCTGCGCTCACTCGCCAGCAGCCTCCGCATCAGTTTCTCTGCCACGCCCACCACCGGTTACACGGGGCTCACTTCTAAGGCGGCTCCCGCCACTGGCACTGCCCTAGGTCCCTCTGGCTTCCTCCAGGTCCTCACCCAGCAATTCCTCCGGCCTCTCCTGCAGCTGGTTCATTCCCTTCAGCACCCAGTCGGGTGCCGGTTCGTTCTACCTTAAACATGCGTGAGCACACACGCAGCCAAGGACGCTTTTCTTTGCTTCCCTTCACAGGAAACTTTCCCCCAGAGCTTTCCGGATCCACAGTTTTCATCGCCTTTTCCCATTCCCCCTTCAACTCCCTCTAGTTGGGCTTTCACCTTCATCACCCCATTGAAACGTCTCCCGCCGGGGTCATCCATGACCTCGCTGACCAGTGTAACGGTCACTCCCAGCTCTCCACACCAGCAGCTGACTGGGCGGCTGAGCCCTGCTCCAGGTACACATCTGTCCTGTGTCTTTCTGGGCCCCACTCTCTCCGCTCCCCTCCCACCTCACAGGGCCCCCGTTCAGTCCCCTCTCCCTCATCTGCCTGAGGTCCCCGTGCTAGCGTCCCTGTGAGTTGGCCCCAGGGCCCCTCCATTTCCCTAGCCTACTTCCCCACTAGCCCCCATCCCACCCAAGGCTTTACAGACACCCTGTGTGCTGATGAGTCTACTTTTGCTTCCCTCACTCGCCTCCAGAACCATACATCTCCACTCAGATAGCCAACAAGAAACTCAAACTTAATAGGGTCGCAACTCAACTCTGAATATTTACCTTCAAACCTGACCCCCCCTTGGCTTTCCCATCTCAGCAAAGGGCAGCTCTGTTCTTTCTGTTGCTCAGGGCACAGCTCGGGTCGCCCTTGGCTCCGCTCTCTTACCCCCACATCTGACACTCCGAAGTCGTCCAGAATCTGACCCTCAGCACCTCTGTGGCTGTTACCTGTGTCGGAGGGACCCCTCCTTTTCTGGCAGGGATTTTGTGTAGCAGCCTCCCAACGAAGCACCCTGCTCCTGCTCCCCCCCCCCCATGCTCTAGCCTCCATGTCATAGTCAGCAACACCTTTTACACTTGATCTTAGCCAAAGGGCTGAGAAGCGATCAGCAACGCTCTTTAATAACATGAGTCAAATGACTTTATTTTTCTTTTCAAACCCTACAGTGGCTCCCTTCTCCTTCAAAGAAAATCTTAACACCTTCCCATTCCCAGAAGGTCTGACATCGGCAGCGCACACCCGTCCGCACTTCATTGCTTCCTGCTTGCCCTCCCCTCCCCTCGGCTACATTGGCATCCCAAGTGTCCTCTGAGCAGTCAAGCACAGTTGCACCTCAGGGCCTTTGCACTTGCTGTGACGGCTACTCCGTCCCATTCATCCACCCACAGGGCTCACTTCCGCTCATCAGTAGAGAGGCTTTCCCTGGCCACCCCATGTAAAACAGCAGCCCACCCTCCCCCTCCTCTCTGCCACTTTCTAGCCCCTTCCTGCTCTACTCTTCCTCACAGCACTCTTCACCATCCAGGGGACACAGGAGACGTGTCTTTGTCAATTTGCCTGTCACGTGTCTGTCTCGCTCTTAGAATGTCAGCTCCAGAAGGCAGAACATTTGCTACATCCTCTGCTGTATTATCCAGAACAGTGCCTGGCTCATGGTGGATGCTAAGTAAATATATGTTAAGTGAATAAAAATGTTTGAATAACGGGGAAACTATTTGTTAGTATCCGCAAGGGTATGTTCTTCAGGGTTTTCAAACCGTTGCTCGTTCAGCAAACATTGTAGGGGGAACTTCATTTCTGAGCCAACTTTAAAGCCTGCCCCCCGGTGAGATGGGTTTCTACTGTGTTCTCGGTGTCCTGCCCCTCTCTGGGCTCAGTCCGTGCGGTGGGGCATCCATGCATTCAACGTATGTTTACAGAGCGTCTCTCATGTGCCAACTATTTTGCTAGGGTCTGAAATTCCAAAAGGAGCAATCGAAATGAGATCACCTCTGGAGAGGAAGACAGAGATGAGACTGTTTGCCATAAGTACACAATTGCCCTCGTGTGTGAAAGCACTGGTGAGGGTGCGGGTAACTAGAGAGTCTCGTGCATTTTCAGTGGATGTGGAAATTGGCGTGTCCTTCTGCTCCTGAGTCACCCTCCAGTCTAGGACTCACCCTCAGGTCCTCACCCAAAGGCAAAAAGACAGAGATGTTCACGGAACTTTTGTGTTTTCGTCACAGTGAAGAGTTGGAAACAGCGATGTCCAGCCGCAGGGGGCTGGTTATGAGAATGGTCACAGCTTCATTCAGAGGTTACTAAGGGGCCGCTGGCCAAGAACATTGACTATGACACTGTGAAAACTACTCAGTAAGACTTGAGGATATTTGTAATACACGGTTAAAAGTGAAAATTTAAACAAGTGCCAAACAACAACACGTAAACCGTGATGTCATTCTTATTTTTGTACACGTGTATGAGTTCAGACCCAGGAAGATGCCCAGGAGGGCGCCACGGTGTTTAAAATGTGGTGGCTTCAGCTGCTAGCGCGAGGGGGTGGGGGTACCGGTGTCTACTGTCACCCTTTTAACCTCTCTCTGTGTTTGGAAAAAATCTTATGATTAAAAAGTTGAAAGAAAATGTGGTTGTTTTGGAGTAGAGTGATTTGGGGACTTTTTTCTTTTTACTTTATATATTTTATTTAATTTTCTCTAATGAGTATCTACTGCTTTTGTATGATAACGAAGTGATTGTGAAATACATTGCAGCTCTTGTCACACAAAACGTTTACATAAAATTTTAGCAACTGTTTAAAAAAAAGGTGTTACAGAAAAGATATGTATAGAACTTTGATAAGTGAAAAAACAGGCCATTAAACAGTATGTACAGTAGTAAGCCATTTTTGAAAAAATGAAAACAATCTATAATGCCCGCCCACAGAAAAAACTGGAAATATCCACGCCAAAATTTGAGCAGCAGTTTTCTTTGGGAAATGGGATCGCAGGTGTTCTTCCCTCCCTTTTGCCTATTTGTGTTCTGTGGATCAGTCGGCCCCACAGGACATGGGAATGTCCCAGAGCCACGCTGTCCAGTAAGTGGCCACCAGGCATGTGTGGCTACTGAGCCCGTCACATGTGGCTAGGGAGACTGAGGAATTAACTTTTTCTATTTCGTTTACTTTTAATTAATTTAAATTAAAATAGCCGTGTGCAGGGAGCGGCTACAGCATCAGGCAGCACAGTTACTGTAGGATACACACTGGCTTTTCTTTCTTGTTCTCTTGTTCCTTCGTTTTCCTGCCCTGCTACTTGCAGAGCTCCTCTGGGATCCCAGGAAGAGGCAGAGTGTGCAGGCTTCGCAACTGTGAAGATGCTGGAGAGCATCTGATGCTGGAGGTGCACAGATGCTGGAGAGCATCTGAGACCTCACTCCTCCGTATACGCCATCAGTCGGGCTTGAATAAATTCTTACAACAACATCCATGAAGTGCCCTGTCCTCAGGAGGTGCTGTTGCGTGTGACTCTTCTCCCTCTCGCCCCAGCCCCTTTTCTCCTCCCACCCTGGCTCTGAGATAGAGGCCCGACTAGAAAAAGCATCTCTGGGCAGCATCTCCGGGAAGGAGCGGGCGGCCTCGGGTCTGGCCCCCGCAGCTCAGGAGGCATTCACTTGCTGGTGTGTTCATCCCACAGCCATTGGAAGCCCTTCCCTCCTGACTGGGCACTGCGCCAGCCCCTCAGTACAGTGGGGCGAGAACACGCGATGTCTGCCCTCACGGAGCTTGGCGTCCAGGCTTGGGCGGGGGTTGGAGTGTCAGAGGGCAGGGACACCGAACGCTTGGGTTGGAGCCCCGCTCAACCCCTGTGGGAATGCCACTCAATCTTCATAAAGCTCTGTTTCTCTTCTATACACGTGAGAAAATAGTAACACTGCCCTTCTGATCCCACAGGGTTGGTCAGGGCTGGAAAGTGAGCTGCCAGGATGGTCAGGGTCAAAGAACACACTCCCATGCCCACCGCCAATATTATTATTAATGCTTTATCACAATATATCAGTTTCTGTAAGCATAGTTAAAACATCAACCTCAGAAGGACCAGAAAAAGATGTTATCTTTCATCCATGTGACATTTGTGGATCCCCTAGTGTGGTCCAGGTCAAGGTGGGGTGGGGTCTGTCTGGGAATACAGACATGGGTTATGGCCCTTCCCTTGGGGACCTGACCCAGGAGGAGGAGGGACACATGAGGAAATAGCCCAACTCCAGTCAGCCATCCTACTGGCACATGGCAAGCCACTGGGGACTCAATGGAACAAGACAGCCTCACCCCTCAGGAAGCTTTCAGAGTCAGTGGGTGAAGCAGAGAGTCATCAAACAGCCACTCAAATATGTAATTACGAACTGTAAGGGCTAAGAGGAGGAAGCACAGAGTGCTATGAAAATACATCATGAGGGATCTTGATTTAGTGGTGATGGGAGGGTCAGAGATATCTCTGAAGAGATCAGAGTCTGAAGGAGTTTAATAGGTGGCGAAAGGGTGGGGGAAGAGGTTCCAGGTGGGATAAACAGTATGTGCCAAGGCCCTGAGGTGGGAGGGGAAAGGGTGCTCCTGGGCCAGTGTGGCTGGGACCCAGTGGGTGCAAGGGAAGGGTACTCGGTGTGGCTGGGGGGGGGGGGGGGGAGTCATAGCCTCAGCTCATGGTGGGCCATGCTTCGGAGCCAGTGAAGGGTTGCAGGGGAGGGGCAGAGAGAGCCATTGTTCATTCTGGGAAGAACGCTGAAGGGGCAGAACGGAAGCAGGGAGGACACTGTAGTGGCTGGTACAAGGGAGGTGGCAGTGGGGATGCAGAGAGGGGGAGAGATTTGGGAGATACACAACTCAGGGTTGGATTTTCCCTGGGGGAACTGGCAAGAGGGGCACTTGTGCGATCAGCTCTGTGAATGCGGATGGTCTGATTAAAGCTGACTTCAGGGGGCCTGGGGAGGGCCTCCCAGATGGAGCTGATGTGCCCTGGGCAGTCAGAGGAGTTGCAGCACCCCTGGTGGACAGAAAGGGGAAAAACAGCTTCCATAGTCAAACGCGGAGGAACCAGACTTGAGTGGGTTTGGGGAGCCTGCAGTGATTTGAAACTAACGCTGGTTGAGTACTGGCCATGTGCCAGTCCCATTCCAAGTGCTGTACTTCATCATCTCATGTGATCCCTACCCCTGCCCAGCCGGGTCGGTGCTCTTATCATTCCCATATGACAAATGAGAAAACTGAAGCTCACAGGGATGCAGCTGCGGAAGATGTGAACGACAGCCAGGTTGACTCCAGACCTGCTTTTTAGTCGCAGCGTCATACTGCTCTTGCAGTTTGGGGTGACCAGGGCCTGGAAAAGTTGGAGAGGGGAGAAGGATGAGGCTGAGGCTGAACAGAGGGGCTGGGATCAAAGCCTGCAGGGCTGCTATGTCTGGACGGGGGAGCTGGGCTTCATGGTAGCAGTGGGCAGCACACTCTTAGGGTGAGGAGGATGAGGTCAGATGTGCTTTTCTGATGAGTCACTCTGGGGCCAGGTAGGGGGACAAAAACCAGAGGGAGGGGGAGACTGAGGCAGGGCATGGGGGAGGGCAAGAGGCCACCGCCATCGCAGAGGGGCAGGCATGTGAGGCTGGAGCTGCAGGGCTCCAGGCAGGGTCAGACTCCAGACACAGCTGACAGAGTCAACAGGGTGGTTGGCAGGTGGGGTGAGGGGTGAGCAAGCACACTTATGTAGCAGGATGCTGCTGCTTATTTCATTCATGCATAGAGCAAATTTTTATTGAGCATCTACTAAGTGCCAGGCCCTCGGCAAAGTGCCGAGAACCCAGGGATGAAAGGTGAAATTGCTAGCCGAAGAAGCCCAGAAGGGAGGTGGCAAATGCTGGAAGACAAGAAAGGAGGGGGAGGCAAGATGATACATTTGGCTGAGGATGTACTGCGTTAGAGGGGCCAGGGGACAGCCAAGTGACAATGTCATGGGGCACTGGATAAAGGGTCTGGACTCTGGAGAGATATCAGATTTAAAAAAATAAAGTCTTGAGCACAACTTGGTAGGCATACTGAAAATCATTGAATAATACACTCAAAACGAGTACATTTGTATGATATATAAATTTTACCTCAATAAGGCTTAAAATGCAATTAGGAGAAAACCCAACAGGTCCCAAACTTTCTAGGAAGTCATGAAACAGGGAGGGGAGTAATGTTCCAGACAGAGGGCAGAGGGCAGGACTGAAAGCCTGGTGATGGGGTGGACGTGCGTAGCTCGTGGCTTGATTCGGGGCAGTTTGGAAGGGATGGGAAGGAGACGTCGTCTCCCCCCTCAGGCCCGCTGTACTGTAAGTCACGTTACTGAGCATGAAGCCCCTTCGGGTGGCATCCCAGATCAAAGCAATCCTTCCTAACTCCAGGAGGGGAGGTGCCATCCTCATTTTACAGATGGGGAAGTGGAAGTTCAGAAAAGTTAAGCAAGTCACCCAAAGTCACACTGCCTGTTTAAAGGGGTAGACTCAGTCTGTTGGGTCAGCTGGCTACCAAGTTTGGGCTCTCAATTAACACTCTAGACCGAGTTTTGCCACAAACAACAAATGTCTCCATCCAAGCACAGCCAGGCAGTGATGGGTTGGGGCCTGGGAGCCAACTGTAGGGAGACTTGGGGTTGAGATACTGGCGCTACAATAGCGCCATCTGCTGGCCATGACGTGGAGCTCAGCGGGTGGTGGAAAGGTGCGCCTTCCTGTGCCTAGCACACAGTTCTTTCTCTGCCCCCTTCCTCTGCGTTGTTTGAGAGGCCAGCAGGCAGGGATTATTGACTGGTGTCAACTTGCCAAGGAGGAAATCAAGGCTCAGAGGAGGACCCAGGATTCCAATCCATGTTCGTGAAATATTTGCCACATCCCGCCTGCCCCAGTGTGGGCTCAGCCCCCAGTGTCCCCTAAGGGAATCTTAGGGGCATCTAGGTCAAAGCCCTCCCTTTCTGACTCACAGATGAGGAAACAGCTTCCGGGAGGGGCTTAGCCTACCCAGGAGAGACTGTGCTGGGGTTCCTACAGGCAGCCTTTACTTTGGGATCTGCCCCGGGTTATGCTGGGTTCTCAGGCTGGGCACAAGCCCCTCCCCAGTTGGGAATCTGGGCCAGGCAGCATTTTGGTTTGGTGAATGGCTGTCCTTTCTCCTTCTCCAACCCCTCAGGTGTTCTAGGTCTCAGGTTAGGGAAGAAGGGAGGGTTTGAGAAAAAGAAAGGAGGCCCAGGTCTAAGGGGGGGACAGGTGGGAGCAGGAGAGGGAGGGCCAGAGCGAGGCCAAGGTAAATGTGAGTGATAATGACAGCTGAGCTCCCACTCTTGAGATGTAGGTGCTTTGCAGAGGTACCGCCTTTAACCCTCTTGGTGACCCCAGAGGCAGGAAAGATGATTACCCCCAGTTACAGTTGAGGAGAGTAGAGTTTGAGAAGTACGCCCAAGGTCAAGGGACTATGAAGTTGGAATGTGACCCAGGAAGTGTGACTCCCAGGAGGAAGGGATTCATGAAAAGTATAAAGGGGCCACAGGATGCTGGAGCAGGCATCGGCTGGGAGAGGCAGCAAAGGGTCCCAGTGCCCGGGGCCGTGTGTCTGTCCTTGTGTGTATGTACTGTGTGTGTGAGGCAGGGTGGCTGAGTCTCAGGAACTATGGCAACAGCAGCTGCCCCAAGCCCCGTGAGTGCCCCCAGCACCCTGGCAACCTCAGCCCACTGCGCAGACCCTCCCTCTGTTGCAAATAATTCTAGAAAGGATACCCCTGCAATTACATTTCCTTTGGATAAACAGAATGAAGTTACTGAGTCAAAAGGATGCACATTTTAAGGCTTTAGATTCTAAAATGCCCTGCAAAGAAAGTTTATGTTTGTTGAAACTCCCATCAATAAAAAATATGAGAGTGCTCATTTTCCCACATCTTCCCCAACAATGTGTTTTGTAGTTTTCTAATGTTTGAAAACCTGGAAGATAAATAATTGTATGTTGTTTTAATCTAATGTCTTTGATTTTGAGAAATGTTGACTATTCTTTTTTGGTTTATTGGCCTGCTTATGGATTAGCAGGACTTCTTACTGATTTGAAAGAAATCTTTGTATGTGAAGATGAGGCAGCTGCAAAGTGAACTCTTGATTCCAGACCTGACTTTGGTACTGCCTCCGCCTCTTCCTGCCCCTTCCAACGTCCACGGGGCTCAGAGAGGAACGATTTTCACTCAGCCCAGGAAGGCTTTTTATGGGAGAAATCTTCAGAAGATGGGAAACAAGAGATAGTGAGAGATTCCGGGTTTGGGTTGTTTTTTTTTTTAGGATTTTCCTTCCCAATCCACCCTTCCTTGCTGCAACTGTGGAAAAGTTGCAGTGTTCTCCTGCAGCCAGAATAACCTCAGGACAGGGCGTGATCTTTCTGGCTCGCTGGGTCCCCACCCAGGAACCTCCTCTCTTGAGCGGTGCTGACACAGGTAAGACCCAGCTCCCGTCACCTCACAGGCCCTGAGTCACTGTCTCTGCTGCTCACCAGCTGTGCCCGAGCACGAGTCCCTCAGCTTCTCTGTGCCTCCGCTCCCTCATCGTTAGGCCCCACAAAGGGCTGTTGTGCAGACTAGATGAGGTAATGTGCATGATGCCCAGACACAGTGCCCGGCGCCAGGTAGGTGCTCAAGAAACAACCTGCCAACTTAGTAACTGACGACTACTTTTCTTTCCAGTTGTTCTTGTTTTGTTGTGTGTGTGTGTCCTTGTTAGTTTTCTGGGGGGGTTTGTTTGTTTGTTTTGTTCTTTAGGGAAAGAGAGTGAGAGAAACATTGATTTCACCTGTTCATGCACTCACTGGTGGCTTCTGTTGTGTGCCCGGACTGAGGATTAAACCTGCAACCTTGGTGTACAGGAACAACATCTCTAACCAACTGAGCCACCTGGCCAGGGCCTGGGTTTGGTTTTGTTTGCTTTTTAGAAGATTTTACTGTATTTATTTTTAGAGAGAAGGGAGGGAAGGGAGAAAAAGAGGAACAGAAACATCAATGCGTGGTTGCCTCTCGTGTGCCCCCTACTGGGGACCTGGCCTACAACACAGGCATGTGCTCTGACTGGGAATGGAACCGGCGACCCTTTGGTTCACAGGCCGGCACTCTATCCACTGAGCCACACCAGCTGGGGTGTTTTTGTTTTTTAACTGAAAACTTATTTGACTTTCAGGAAAATAATAAACCAAACCTCTGCACTTCAACCTATGTGGGTTAGGAACTCCTGGTGACAGGAACACAAATTAACAGGAGCTTAACAGAAAAGAAGGAGGCGGGGAGAACTCATTACAGAGACTCAGGGGTGTTGTACAGGTTCCGAGAGCCTGAGACTGGATTCTTCTCCCTGCTTCTCCCTGTGGGTCTGCTGTGCTCCTGTCCGTCTTCCTCCACCAGAGCGGCCACCAACTCCTCCTGCTCCCGGTCACAGTATCGCCGCGCCCAGAGACTCACTAGCATGAACCCCACATCCCCCAACCAAGTTCCTGCTGAAGAGGTTGTGACTGGCCCAGACTCAGCCAGGTCCAATCGGATGTCCCCTAGATATATAATAAGCCGCTGCCGGAGGACAGATGAGCTGATCGAGGCTCCTCTTGTAGGCAGGGGAAGACTGCAGCTTGAGTTCTCTGAGAAACTGGGGAGGAAGCGACTAGAAATGGAACCCAGAGCTCACAGAATTGACCCTGGAAGGTCAGAGCATGATCTTACCTTATCTAATCTCTGCTCACATTTTATAAAGAAATAAAGTCAGAGGTACATGGTTTGTCCAGGGCTTCCCAGCCAATCAGTGTCAAAGCTGGATCCAGGTCTGCAGGCACCGTGCTCAGCCTCAAGGCTTCGGAAGGCTACACTTGACTTCCCCAAGAGCCGTGCTGCTGGGTGGAGCTCTCTGTTGATTGAAAGTAGGTTTTAAAAATAGCCAATTCATTAAAAAATAATTTAAAAACTCCTTACCTATAACATACGTATCACATTTTTGGTGTTTGAAAAATATTTTTCAAAACAAACAAAAAAAAATCTTAGAAGGATGACATCATTTTACATTTTGCAGACATCTTTAATTCCTGGCGTGATAGACGGCTGGGTTCTCACGTCTGATTCTGTGTTCAGTCTGTTGCGGCTTCACAACATGTAGCCGCTAGGAAACAGCATTGTACTACCGAAGAAACGGTAAGAGGGGAAAAGGCAAATGTCTCGGCACTGTTAGGACCTTGCCAAGTCTGAAGGGTCTCAGGGACCAGCAGGGGTCCCCAGAACATTATTTAACAACTGCTTGTCTAAACGAGGATGGACTTCATAAAAGTTTCTATAGAAGCAAAAGTCAGAACACTTGGGTTCTAGTCCCACCTGTTAATGACCTGACTAGTTTTCTTGAGGAAAGCTGCCTGGCCTCTGGTCCATCCTGTTCTCCCCTCCACCTCAGGGCCTAACACAGTGCTCTACCTGGAGCTGAAACGAACACCTGCCCTGGATCGGAAAGGAGTTCAACTCACCCAGGGCCGCAGGGGTAGATATCAGTCATATCTACTGTTGAACAGGGGTTAGTGGCTAAGAGCTTGAATTTTGGACTCCCATGCCTTAGGTTCAAATCCTGACTCTGCTGCCTATTAGCTGTGTCATCTCAAGCTAGTCAGTTAATTTCTCTGTTCCTTTATCTGTGAAATGGAGATAATAAAACTTCACTGAGTTGTTAATGAGATTGAATGAGAAAATCATGCAATGTGCTTACGACAGCACCAGGTATGCAGTCAGCATTACTTACGTGTTTGCTGCTATTACTCTTGAAGGCTTGCTGACCCTGTGCCCGATTAGCACTTTATCATATGGCCCAAGTCACTGACTCTAAAACTTGCAATAATATATTCCATTATTTTAAAAACTCAAAGATGCCCTGGCCGGCGTGGCTCAGTGGTTGAGCACCGGCCTGCGCATCGAAGGGTCGCTGGTAGATTCCCAGTCAGGGCACATGCCCGGTTCACGGGCCAGGTCCCCAGTCACGGGTGTGCGAGAAGCAATCACGCATTGATGTTTCAGCCCATCTCTTTCTCCCTCCCTTCCCTTCTCTAAAAAATAATATAAATAAGATCTTTTTTTTAAAAAACCTCAAAGCCATCTCCACACATTGCCCTGTTACCACCCCCCTTACTCTCAACTTATTGGGAGCCTTCTTCCTGGGTGAAGGAGCTTTGGAAGCAGGGGTGGCCCCGGGCTTTTCCCTTCTACTCCCGGCCCAGGTGGGCAAAGGCTCCTTCGGGTACATCTGGGTGCTGGACCGGCTGAAGGCAGAGCAGGAGCGTGGCATCACCATCGACGTCTCCCCGTGGAAATTCCAGACCAAGAAACACGACTTCACCACCTTCAAGGCCCCGATGACTTCCTCGAGAACCTGATCAGAAGAATCTCGCAGGTCCTGCACCGTCAGGGTGGCCTCGGCCCTGCTATGAGGATGGGCAGCGGGTGTCCCAGTCTGGGTCTGAGCTGGGCCTTCTTTTCTTTGTCCCTCGGGCCAGATGGACTGTGCTGTACCGACTGTGGCAAGCAGTGTAGACGAACTTGAGTCTGGCACCTCCATGAACGGGCGGACCCGTGAGCATGTACTGCAGGCCCACTCCCTGGGCGAGAAGCAGCTCGTCATGGCGGTCAACAGGATGGACATCAGAGCCGCCCCGCAGGCGCGTGTGCTTTGAGGACATAAGCAAGGAGGAGAAGACCCGCACTCAGAAGATCGGTTACAATGCTGAGGCTGTCACCTTTGTGCCCATCTTGGGGTGGCATGGGGACAATGCGCTAGAACCCAGCACCAAGGTGAGGGCGAACAGGCCCAGGCCTGGTGACATGGGACTTACCCACTCAAGTCTTTGAGCTTCTCTTAGTGCTTAGTCCCAGGATGCACAGTGTGCTTATGGGCCAGTCGCTGAATGACCCCCTCCCGCGGGAAACCTGATTTGATCCCCATTTCACAGATGAACAAACAGAGGTAACTGAAAGCTACACAACTAGTAAGCAGAGAGGTGCACTGTCCAACGTGACAGCCAGTATGTGGCTATCTAAATTACTAAAATTAACTCAAATAATTTTAATTCCTTACTTGTATTAGGTACATTTCAAATGCACAGCCACCATATGTGGCTTCCATACTGGACAGTGTGATTATAGAATATTTCCATCACTGCAGAAAGTTCTATCGGGCGGTGCTGGCACAGTGTAGAATTCTAGCCAACGCTCAAAGCGTCTCAGCTGACCTACCTCTTAAGACAGGGTAGGCAGCCTGGGGGCACAACAAACACGCCTAAGACACACCCACTGTGCTCACAGACCCCACGCCCCAGGAAGGCTTAATGCTTCTACACGACCGTCTCCCTACCAGCGAAGTGTAGCTCTGGCCTCAGACCCGTCTTCAAGGCCCGGTTCCATCACTTGCTCACAGTAGAGGGGTAGCTGAGGTATTAGCACCCCAGACCTCAGGGTTCACTTCATGGGGTTGAGAATAACACGAGAGACTCCATCCACATGGGCATCTGTTCATCCGCTAGTCAGTGCTCAAATGCCAACTGCTTTCACCTATTACCTTTGCCTAAAGCCTACTTTTTCTTTATTTTTAAAAAATGTTTAAAGTTTATTTAAACATTTTTTAAATTTTTATTTATTTTTAGAGGGGGGGAAGGGAAGGAGAAAGGGAGAGAAACACTGACTGGTTTTGTTGCCTCTCGCATGCCCCCCCAACCCAGGACCTGGCCAGCAACCTAGGCACATGCCTTGACCAGGAACTGAACCAGTGACTGTTCAGTTTGCAGAACGATGCCCAAGCCACTGAGCCACAGCAGTCAGGGCAAATCTGTGTTTTCTATAACTGACTTGAGGATTTTTAGCCTTTCCCCCATCAGGTACTTAGCTATCTTTTTTCTTTCTTTTTTTAAAATATATTTTATTGATTATGTTATTACAGTTGTCCCATTCCCCCCCTTCATTCCTCTCCACCCTGCACACCCCTCCCCCCAACATTCTCCCACTTTAGTTCATGTCCATGTGTCTTAAGTTCTTTAGCTTCTACATTTCCCACACTACTCTTGCCCTCCCCCCTGTCTATTTTCTACTTACCGTCTATGCTACTTATTCTCTGTACCTTCTCCCCCCCTCTCTCCACCTCCCACTCCCCTGTTGCTAACCCTCCATGTGATCTCCATCTCTGTGGTTCTGTTCCTGTTCTAGTTGTTTGCTTTTGTTTTAGGTGTGGTTGTTAATAACTGTGAGTTTGCTGTCCTTTCACTGTTAATATTTTTTATCTTCTTTTTCTTAGATAAGTCCCTTTAACATTTCATGTAATAAGGGCTTGGTGATGATGAACTCCTTGAACTTGACCTTATCTGAGAAGCACTTTGTCTGCCCTTCCATTCTAAATGAAAGCTTTGCTGGATAGAGCAATCTTGGGTGTAGGTGTTCGGATTTCATGACTTGGAATACTTCTTTCCAGCCCCTTCTTGCCTGTAAGGTCTCTTTTGAGAAATCCACTGACAGTCTGATGGGAACTTCTGATGCTGATTCCTGGATGGGTGGATTTGTGTACATTCTAGGACCCTGTGGGTCTCTCTAACAAACTCTTCTGTGAGGCTGGGAGTCTCTTTCGGCACCTCAACCCCCACAAGTGTTTTCAATTGGTGTTTTTAGGCTTTATTTCCCTGGCACTGGGTCCCTGGGTTGCGCGGTCTGTCTCGCTGTCCGTTTTGATCTGGTTTATCTGTGCCGAATGTGTCACTGTGGTCAGCCAGCCGCCTTACATGCCTCACTGGGTCTGCTTGTTGCCACCCCGTGCCTGGGGTCTGCCAGCCACCATCTGAGCACCTGGTCTGCTAGCCACCACTTTTTCCTGCCTCAACCCCTCCCCACAGGGCACCGACTCCACCCCTCTTTCTGGTCTGGATGAATGGTTTTTGAACTTGTGTACAGTTCAATTTTCTGTCAGTTCTGGTTGTTTTTTTGTTTCTAAATTTGTGTTGTCCTTAATTTTGGTTGTGCGAGGAGGCACAGTGTGTCTACCTATGCCTCCATCTTGGCTGGAAGTCTCCAGCTATCTTCTTCTGATCACAAAAGTAATCAACATTTTCAAATAAGCAATTCATGTAGCTACCAAGAATAAACTGCAACCTATGGCTTACAGATAACCTGCTTTTCATGCAGCTCTTTCTAGGTCATCACCTTAGAACTCACAGCTATGCATAACTTTTTAGTTTTAAAATCTTCCTTGCCATTGAAGCATGTTGAAACATAGTTACTGGGTGTTTTTTATTGCATCTCTCAGAGGTACAGTAGTTTGTTTAGCCATATTTGTTATTAAATAAAAGCAATAATTAACAATTTGCTGAATTATTTGCCAGACCCCAGACTAAGCACTTTACATATACATGACCCCATGAAGAAGGCCTTTTATTGCATGCAAAATAAGAAAACTGGCCCTGGCTGGTGTAGCTCAGTGGATTGAGCACGGGCCTGTGAAGCAAAGGGTCCCTGGTTCGATTCCCAGTCAGGGCACATGCCTGGGTTGCAGGCCAGGTCCCCAGTAGGGACGCATGAGAGGCAAACACACATTGATGTTTCTCTCCCACTCTTTCTCCTTCCTGTCCCCTCTTTCTAAAAATGAATAAATAAAATAAAATAAAATAAAATAAAATAATTAGAAAACTGGGCCATGGTATATAGATAAGTAATAGCTCAAGGTCACCTACTTCTAAGAATGCTGTCTCTAATTTTATTAAGAACTGCCATAAGCCTCTTGGTGAATATATCTTTGCATGCGTCCCCAATTTAATTAAAATAAGTCCCTAACAAAACAAAGGGTAGGAATTATTTTGGCCTGTTCTGACACATACTGCCCAACTGTCCTCAAGAAAGATTAGAACTGCCATGGGCAGTGTTCATCGGGATGGACTTTGCGCGGTTGGACACTGGGCACTGTCCTTGGTGCTGAGGGTGCTGGCAGTGACTGAGACGCAGTTCTGTCTGGGGACGGGGATAAGACATAATATAACGGAAAATGACAGGTGCTAAGAAAAGCTACGGGAAGGTGAAGGGGCATGATATGAGTGAGTTATTTTATGTCAGGTGGTCACGGGGGACTCCTCTTGATGTTAGATGTAATGATGTTAGATGTAATGATGTAATGATGTTAGAGTGGAAACCTGAAGCTTTGCTGCCCATTTCCCCACACGCTAAGTATTGTCACATATTTCAGCTAATGAGATAAAGGGACTTTATTTTTACGTCTTTCTGAAAATTCATTAAGCAGCTACTATGTTCTAGATGCTAAAAAGAAAACAAAGCATCAGTCAGTGGACTAGACAGATTTAGGGTTTAGACTCAGCTCTTAAGGAATACCTGTGACACTGGAGACCTCAGTTTCCCTCTCTTTAAGATGGAGATGATGCTGACCTCATAGGCTTACGCAGGCCTCTGATTTAGCCAGTGAGTTGCCAAGTTCATCAAACTAACAGAAGAACTCATCCTCGATGATGAGGCTGGTTTCGAGTGAGGAATTTCCCTCATTATCAACTTCTGGCCTGAGCAACCTAATTCTTTTTAAAAAAAGATTTTATTTATTTATTTATTTTTAGAGAGAGGGGAAGGGAGGAAGAAAGAGAGGGAGAGAAATATGATGTGTGAGAGAAACATCAACCAGTGGCCCCTCACTCCTAACTGGGGACCTGGCCCACCACCCAGGCATGTGCCCTGACTGGGATTCAAACTCATGACCTTTCTGTTTGCAGGACAAAGCCCAACCCACTGAGCCACACCAGTTAGGGCTGGGCAACCCACTTCCAACCCTCAGTTATCTCCTCTGTAAAAAGAGGATATATTATTTTTTCTTACAAGTTTGAATTATTTATATAAAAATGCTTATTAATTTTTTCCCAAAGCCTCCTGTCATTCTCCCAGACTGCACTTTGGAGGATGAGCTGTTTCATCTTGCTATGGGACATGTTTCCCTCAAATTGTTTCGTTAACTTCAGTCTGACAATTTCAGAGTGACAGAGAAGTTGCACAAAGCCCCATGTATACTTCACTTAGACTCCCTAAATCTTAAATTGACCACACTTGCTTCGTCCTTAACCCTCTAACTAAAATATTTTTTCTGAACCGTTTGAGAGTAAGCTCATGATGCCCCTTTACCCCAAAACTGAATGTGTATCTCTTAAACCCAAGGACACTCTCTTAAGAGTCAAGGTTAAGTAATCAGGATGAGAGCATTAAATTAGCATGGATACATTTCTGAAGTCTATAGACATTAGTCAGATTTTGTCAATTATCCCACCAACATGCTTTACAGCAAAAGGAAATCCAGGATCCTGTGTTGCATTCGGTCGTCTCTTACTGCCAGTTTTGCAGCAGCCCCTCCCTTGGCTCTGCTCCCTCCTAGAGACCAGGCAGAGGGCCCAGCTCCGGGTGAGCCAGCGGATGCTTGAAGGAGAGGCCTTTCCCCTTTGCCCTCCTCCATCAGACCAGCTTCCCAGAGTGCCCTTTTGTTGGAAGGATGAAACACAGCCTAGGAGCCTCCACCTCCCCTCTAGCAATGGGAGAAGGGGATTGTGGCAGAAGAAAGCAGCTTGGCTCCCTTCCCACCAAAGTCCTGTATGTTCTTTCCCACTGGTTCCCGAAAGGAACTGGACGGCTCAAGGTCAGCGTGGGCCTGGAATGTGGATCCTGGCGACTCCTTAGGTCCTGCCGCTACGGCGTTAGTTTAAATCAGGGAGCCCTCTCACTGTCTGGATGGGAGTCCTCGTCTGTCAGAGACGAATCGGCAAGTGGTCTCAGTGCCTGCAGGATGGCCCTGTCTTAATTATATACCATGTCTAACACTTTTGGGGGGTTGAGTGGATACGGTGGGTCTATATTAACAAGAGTAACTACTTATTGTGGACTTACTATGTACTCTACCTACACAATTACCTCATTTAATTTTCACAATCTCACGCACCCATTTTAAAGATAAGGAAAACTGAGGTCGAAAGGTGTAATTAGTACCCTTCCCCAGGTTATATAGCTATTAGCTAAACCAGACAGGACCGCATCTGTCTTCACAACTCAAGCCACTCTGTTCTAATTGGATAAATGCCATTTGTTCACACTTAGGGAGTAAATTATTTGTTTATAATTTATATAATTGATTTAATGTAGTTCTGGCAGTGTCATCACGCAAGACTTACCAGTAGGTCCGGAGACTGGGAGCGAGAGGGGTAGGGTTCGGAAGCTCAAGTAAAGCCCAGTCTGGGGGCTTTCAAACCCCTACTTTTGGGAAACCCAAGTGCGGTCCATCGGCCAGCGTCGCCTGCAGTTGCTAGCAGTGTCCACGACGGAGAAGCCGACGCTGCGCCGCGCCAGTCCCACCTCTCCTCCTCTTCCCCGTCTCTCTCTGGCCCGTTTGGGGGAAGAGCCCGCCTCCTGTCCCATAAGGCCCTGCTCCGGAAATTTCCCTGCCTCTTCCTGTTTCTAATCATGGCGGTGAGTGTCTGAGGCCCTGGCTAGCGCCTCTTCATCCGCCTCCATCCACGGCCGGCCGGGCGCCCGAGGGGTCCCTCGTCCGCGGCCCGGAGAGCATGGATCCCTCGGGACTGGCAGTGCTACAGCTTTGGAGCCGTGCGGGCCGAGAGCGCCGAACCGGCCTTTTCGTCCCTCGCCTATCCTCCTAGGAGCGGGCCGGGTCGGCCTCCCGGGAGGTGCCTGAGCACGAGTCTGTAGGCTGCCGCGAGAGTGAGCGGCTCGAAAGAATGGGTCCGCGCCACGGGGTCCGGACCTGGGTCCGGTCCTGGGGGTGTGAGACCTGGCTGGTGCTAGGGAACCTCAGCCGGGACCTCCGCTAAGGGAGGGGGTCGGCCTTTTGCTGCAGCCTGGGAGCTGCTTCGGAATGGGCCGGGGATCTGGTGCCACAACCGCGTGTTTCCTCCTTCCTCATCATTTCTATTTTTTCTCCCATCGGCCTTACCATGGGGCCCTCCCCGTCACCCTCCACGTTGAGCCCCGTGGGGCTCAGCCTCGGTGTTTGTTGTATGTAACCTTGACACTCGGTACCTGCTGTGAGTTCCTGTTCACCCATTCCGTGCGTGGAGGAAGAAACTAGATTCCGAGCTGTCTTCTTCCTCCATGCCTCCCCAGCAAACACAGTGACACTAAATTTCTAGGGCTTTCGGTACGATTTGGGATGAGCAGAAGTAAATATGCACAGCATAAAAGCACCGGGCTCGCAGCTGTGGCGGGTTAAGTGTGCTTGACCACGGCACTTCCCCCTTACAGCAGGATCAAGGCGAGAAGGAGAACCCCATGCGCGAACTGCGCATCCGCAAGCTCTGTCTCAACATCTGCGTGGGGGAGAGTGGAGACAGACTGACCCGGGCAGCCAAGGTCCTGGAGCAGCTCACGGGCCAGACCCCTGTGTTCTCCAAAGGTAAGTGGCAGGCAGGAAGGGGGCTGGAGGCGTGGCATGCCTGGGTGTGTCTCCCGAGCCCTTTAAAGTGCCCGTTTTGACGCTGACAGTTGACATCCCTTAAAAGCATTATCTTCCTGAGCTGCCCAAGAAGTACCTTCTTTTTAGGATTGCTTGTGGCATTGGAGTACAGGTTTTATGTGAGCAGAGACAAGGACTGGCTCAAGCAAAGATTTCCCAAGTTAGGGATGACACAGAGTGGAAATGTTGGGGTAGCAGAGTGCTAGTGGGTCTGATTAGCAGGTAGCACTATCTAGGCTACGAGAGAGAACAGGGTGAAGTTGTGTTGCTTTAGGGTAGTGGGGCATGGCAAGTCCTTGGGGCCAAATCCTGCCTCGCATTACCAACTGTGATCTTAACGCAGGTGAGCGTCTCAAAACCTCGTCCCTTAAATCCGGATGGCAGAACAGTAAGGTGTTAGTGAACATCAGCTATTGTTATCCTAAGGTTTTGTTTTCTGTGGACACAATGATCATCTTCCTTTTTAGGGGCCTATTCTGGTTGTGAACGTGCCCTTAGACTTTGACATTATGACTGAGCTCTTAATTCCTTAAATATGGCTGAATGACTTGGAAGTTGGGTGGGGGTGGGGATGTGTTTTCTGTTAAAGGTGAAACCAATTCAGAGATGTAGGTGACACTGGTTAGAATGCCCCCACTTAGAGTGTGGCTAGGTTCTTACTACCTCTTTGGAGTTGTGGAGATGGTGTTCTGGGGAGTAGGCGGTGGGAGTATGGCAACACCTGACTCCTTGTCACCCTCTGCCCGCAGCCAGGTACACCGTCAGATCCTTCGGCATCAGGAGAAATGAAAAGATCGCCGTGCACTGCACCGTCCGAGGGGCCAAGGCAGAAGAGATCCTGGAGAAGGGTCTGAAGGTGAGGCTGCTCCCATCAAGGGCTGATGCTCAGGAGCACGAGCTTAACACATGCGATACTTGTAGTGGCTTCAGTTAAGCGAGTACTGTGTATAATTCTGAGGTATAATTGACATGTAATGTTAAATAGCTTCACGCGTACAGTGTGATGACATTTGCAGACACTGAAATGATCACGACAAACCTAACTAGTTACTGTCTGTCACTGTATAAAGTTAAAAAGTATTTTTTGTGATGAGAAAACTTTAAAGATTTTTCTGTTAGCAACTTTGAAATGTGCAACACGATATCATTAACTGTAGTCACCGTGTGTGTTACATCCCTATGACTGACTTACTCTACCACTGGAAGTTTGTATCTTTTAGACCCCCCTCATTTTGCCCCCTTCACTGACAACCACAGATCTGTTTTTTGTTATCTAGGAGTTTTGTTTTTTTTTTTAGATTCCATGTATAAGTGAAATCATGGTGTTTCTCTGACTTCACTGAGCATAACATCCTCAAGGTCCATGGCATTATTGCAGATGGCAAGATTTCATTCTTTTTTAATGGCTGAGTAGTATTCCACTGTGTGTACCCGAGAGTATATGCCACATAATTATCCATTCACCCATCATTGCACACTTAGGTTGTTTCCATATCTTGGCAGTTGTAAATGATGCTACAGTGAACATGGGGTGTGTGTGCCTTTTCCTTTTGGGGGGGAACCTCCATGGTGTTTTTTCACGGTGGCTGCACCTGTGTACATTCCCACCAACAGTGCACAAGGGTTTCCTTTCCTCCGCATCCTGACAACACCTGCTGTCTTTTTGTTTTTGATAGTAGCCATTCTGGCTGGTGCAAGGTGCTGCCCCGTTGTGGTCTTGATTTACTTTTCCCCGATGGTTAGTGATGTTGAGCATCTTTTCACATTCCTGTTGGCCCTCTGTGTGTGTGTGTCCGAACCGCTAAGGGCTCTCTTCCTTAGAGAAGTTTAACCCTGCATCTGGCAGGGTGCAGCTATGCTCTTCAATGCTTTCTCTGGGTTTTGCCCTGCACTTTGAAAGTTGGGAAAGCTCTGTGAAATCCACAGTTGGGATGTGATTTGGTGTAGTGGGGAAATCTGGTTTTGTTTCTGGCCAAATTGCATTGAATTGTATTTCTGGGGTGCTAAGTGCTGTAAGCTAAGCTAGTTCTTTCGGGGGGATTTGCATTGACAAGGAGTGTGATTGCTGCCTTTATCTCCTCAGGTGCGGGAATATGAGTTACGAAAAAATAACTTCTCGGATACTGGAAACTTTGGTTTCGGGATCCAGGAACACATCGATCTGGGGATCAAATATGACCCAAGCATCGGTATCTACGGCCTGGACTTCTATGTGGTATGAATACTTACTGTTTTCCACTCTGTGTGTGCGAGGGGTGTGGAATGGTGCTCCTGTATTTTACATGCGGTGTTTTGATGTCAGATGTTGGATTGAAGCTCTGAGTGCTGTCTGCCTTCGTCCTTCCCTTTGGAAGATGTGCCTTGTTTGTGACGTGTGTAGGGATGCAGCACAGAGCTAGATAGACAAGATCACTGCTGTCATGAAGCTCAGAGACTAGGACCTAGCAAGCACCGGTATGGGATTAAGGGTGGATGAAGAAACTGTTTGGTCCAGCCAGGGAACTGAAAGTTTGAACAATAGTGTTGGGACCTCATCTGGCTGCACTGGGGCTCTCTCGGGCTCCTCCCGGCTCCCTGGACCCTTGGCAGGGCTTCCATCCTGAGGGCGGGCTTGGCGATGTGGCTGGTTTGTATCCGGTGGGGATTTCAGTGTAGGGACGACCATGTGTGTTACTGCAGTGCTTGGGTCCAACCATCAAACTAAATAGCAAAAACCAGGAGACCTGAATGACGGCAGCACCCTGGTTAGATTTGAATATCCGAACAGTGATGAGTTGGGTGCTCACTGGGAGTCTGGGAACAGCAAACCTAATTCAAGGACTTTAAAGCTGAAGCAGAAGGAGTGTTTGTGCTTCTCAGAGTTTTAAGTTTTCTACAATGCTCATGTAGTGAGATTGTTCTTAATACTACTTTTAAGAATAAAAATGCTTTGGAGATTGGGAAGCAGGAGTGGCGAGTCCTTAGCTGCCACTGGAAGTTAGGTAGGGAAGCGGGGAGGTGCGGCAAGTTCCGGCCTGCACAGCAGCCTACATGATAGTGGTGTGTCGTGCAGGATGCTGGTAACAGTTCCGTCAGACCCTGGGGTCGAGGGTCCAGAATTCACTGGGCCACCAATGACTCTTGAAGATTGGCCTCTCCCATGTGTGAGTCTTGTCTGTCTGCTCTTGACTCTGAGCTGGCTAGGTGACTGTTGGTTATTCCTGGGACAGGTGCTGGGTAGGCCAGGTTTCAGCATCGCAGACAAGAAACGCAGGACAGGCTGCATTGGGGCCAAACACAGGATCAGCAAAGAGGAGGCCATGCGCTGGTTCCAACAGAAGGTAACGCTGGTTTATCTCAGGCGAAACGGTGGAATGTGGGGAGTGGAGCTGGGGTCTGGGGGTACAGAATCTATGGCCATTTGGTGGGTAGCTTCTTTGAAGATAGACTATTTGGGCAGCTTGGCAAGTGGGGCCTTCCAGGGTTAATGGTTTAAAAGAACACCCAGAATCATCAGCCTTTTCCCACCCCAGTTAATGCTGAGTAGCTCAAAGGGGGAAATATAGCTTTAACAAGAGCCCCCCCTTTTCTTAGTTTATTGTGCAGTTGAGCACAGTATAGCAGTTGTTAAAATTGGCAGGCTTCCTGTTTAGTCCAGGGTGGGTATGGGATTCAGAGTCAAGTTCATGTATCAGATTAGAAATCTCAAACAAAGCATTAGCCATTGCTTCGATCTTTGCTGTTGCTTCCTGTCCTGAAAAAAATAAAATCTCTTCTCTTTCAGTATGATGGCATCATCCTTCCTGGCAAATAAATTACTGTTTCTATCCAAAAGATCAATAAAACGTCTTCAGTAAAATGTACATTACTGTGTGTGTTCTGTGAAAGGGGCCTGGCCATATTCGAGCCCTTGGACTTGAAACGACTTAAAGCTTCAATGGGAATAGCTGGTAACAGCCCATCTTCCTCTGAGTGGATGCCACGTTTCCTGGCAGGTGTGAGCCTGAGCCCCGCAGCATTGCCCGTGCCCACCACACCCTTGTTGGTAGGTGCTGCAGGCATCAGGAGTGGATTTTAGCGGGGAAGGTACGACAGGGGGTGGGGTTAGAGCCTTAACTAAAGGGGGGTGCAGTGCTCCCACATTCCCGGGGGTTCCCCTTTACTCCGATTCTGTTCTTCACTGGAGATTTTACTAACATGGATGTCGGGTGAAGGGATCACAGGCTTTGGTGTGATGCTTGGGGTTAACTTTTGGTTTAAATGCTCATTCAGTTTTCCTTTAAAACGAGTCTAATGCTGTTGAGAGGCCGTGTAAGTGCAGGAGAGAGTGGTCTTCCAGGCAGATTCCCTGGGTTCGATTGCCCGCCCTGTTACACGTGTTGGCCTAAAGCAAGTTAATCTGTTGGCCTCGGTTTTCTTACCTGTGTCAGGGAGGCAGTAGTAACAGCAGTGTCCCTCAGGGGCCTAGACTTGCACCAGGCACATAGTGTTCAGAAAGGGTAAACGTTGTGTTTTGGTGCGTGAGGAATGCTTCTCTTAACCAGCGGGCCGCTGCTCCCCCAGCCCCACTGTGACTCGGAGGTGGCACTTTCTTGCCTGCACATTTCCAGGTCACTGAAGCAGTGACGTTCAGAAGCTACTGCTTCTCTGACCATAAACACAGTACTTGGCCAGAGGTTCACAGTGTCACTCTTGGATTTACATTTCGAGCACGTGTGAGTCCTGTTTAATAACCTGCTCCACTGTGACTAATGAGTTCGGTTGTCCTTGGGCCACCTTTCCATTGCCGTTCATTGTGTTGTCATCTGTTGGCTGCCTTTGTGGGTATTTTTAAAACTCGGATTACTGGTGTGCCTAATTTTTTATGGAAACGTGATTTATTTTGTCTTCCTGGTAATAAAGTCTTTATCCATCAAGACCAGATTCAGTAGGTTAGAGGTGAGAATCACGAAATCGTTGCCGTGTACTTTGTATTACTCAGAATGTGGGTGTGCACTCACTTTTCCATCTTCCGGTGGGGCCAGGGTATCACCTCATAAGGGGAGTGAAAACTTCCCAAGTTTTGATTCCTGTGATTCAACTTCATTTTTAGAGGGGGAACCTAACTCATTTTAACTTCTGTAATTACACTAACAACTACAGCTGGAATAAATATTTTTGAGAACAAACTTCAAATTTTTTTTTTCATTGATTTTAGAGGGAGGGAGAGAAGCATTGGCTTGTTCCACTTTATGCGTTCACTGGTTGCCTCTTGTACGCACCCCGACTCAGAGATGGGCGAACCAGGGTGACCAACTGAGCTCCCCGGCCAGGGCGAGAACAAACTAGCTCCTGGTGAGCGTCTGGCTAACATGCGGGGCGATAGGTGCTGTGGAGGGGGGGTGTCAGCATATTCTACAGGGGGGATGGAGAGCACTTGCTAGTTTTACCTAAAGCATTTCAGAAATGTGGCAGGTGGAAGTCCCTCTAATGTTAACTCCGGTCTTTGTGCACTTGACTGTTTGCCAATTGCTGTGTGTAGCATGTTTTTACGTTTGTATTACTATTTAATTTTAACGGCATAAACCTGCCTCCCCCTCCCTCCATGCACTTGACCCGGGCTTAAACCCACCACCTTTGTACAGGACGACATTCCAACCAACTATTCCACTAGGTCAGGGTGGCTTCCCCATTTTAAAATTAAACGGCCTGGGCTCCTGGCCCAGTCAAAAAGGACTCGGGATTTCAGGCATCTGACTGGATTTTAGTCCTAGCTCTAGCAACATTTGAGGTGAGTCATGAAACCTCCTGGGGACCGGAGCAGGTAGGCATTTGTCCCCAGCCAGTTTGGAGCAGTCATTACCAGGAAAGCCCCTCTGCTCTGGCCCGGAGCTTCAGGTCCCTTAGGCCTGAAGCGTTGACATTTTGGGTTGAGTGTGCTAGTGGGTTGATGGGATCACCCAGGGAACTTCTGCTTGAGGGACTTCACTGAGATCTGCGGGTGACTTGTATGCCCACACTGAAGTCTAGAAGCACTGCCCACAGCTAATGCCAGAACGAAGTGGGGAGGATATAATATCCCAGGAGAGTTCTTAAATAAATTTAGTTTTGTGAAATTCTTGCTGTGTGGTTATTTTTCTCATTTCTTCAGCAGCTACCTGTGAAGACTTTGGTCAATGTTAAGTGACCCCGTGCCCCCATGTCCCGCTGGAGTTGTCTTCAGAGTAAGCGTCCCTGGCGGGCATCTCTCCGTGTCCTGTGCTAGGCCCAGAAATACTGGGTGCTACTCTGCCGATAGAACGTTCCAGTCCTATGGGAACCCTCTAGGGCAATAATACCTGCCCTCATCCTGGGGTATTTGAAAATTTGTGGCTGTGGCCTTCTGATGATCACTATTACTAGGGCCGCTATTTGTATTATTACCCAGAGGTCAAATAAACATTCTGTCTCGATAATACAACTAATGTGAAGTGCCATGGGGACAGGTACAGGGTGGTCGCCGGTACTTCAGCAGCAGACACGTGGGGTCAGCCAGCCATGCAAACACTAGGCGGTCCCGGTCAGTTGGCCGAGAGACTGCAGGAAGACCGAACGCTAGAACGAGCAAGGGTGGACAGGAGAGGAACCCACCGGGGGAGGCTCTGGCAGGGGCAGCGGAACGTGAGAAGGGGGGAAATGGGGCACAGCTGGGGAAGCCACTGTAGCTCATTGTACTTGGCGTTTTTATATCCATAGGTGGCTATAAGGGAGATGTCAGCCCAGGTGAGAGTCAGAGCTTTCTGACTCTACACCTTTAAAAAAGGTGTAATCAAAATGAGAACATTCTGTGTACATGCTTGTGTTACTGTTTTGAATGGTTAGAAGGAAATCAGTCCACAGGACTGTTTGTGCCAAGTAACTTCAGTCAGAAGTCATACATGACAGTCACAGGACTGAGGACAATAGCCTCTCCCCCACAGGAAATGGGAGCTAGCAAACACTGCTAATTAAATTTACCTTGTAGGGTTTTTGTTGTTTTTTTAAAGGTTTTATCTATTGTCAGAGGGGAAGGGGGAGAAAGAGATGCGAGAGAAACATGGATCAGTTGCCTGTTGTGGGTTCCCCAACTGGGCACTGAACCTGCAACCTAGGCGTGTGTGCGGACTGGGAATTGAACTGGTGACCTTGTCACTTTGGGTTGAAGCTCATCAACTGAACCGCACTGTCAGGGCTAGGCTTTTTATTTTTATGTATTTATTTTTTGGAATGTAATTGAGGAAAACTAGCTATAATTTTAATTTGCTTTTTTCCTCTTAATTATGTTCTCATGTGACAGTGGCTTTGTAATCTGCCATCTTCCGGATGTGCGGGACATAGTGCCTTCCCTGTGCCGCCAGCACTCGGTGTCAGAAATGTTGGCTCCCCAGTGCTGCCCCGGGAGAGGCTCTCTGTCCTGTTGCCTGGCCCTTTGTCCAGCAGCTGTAAGGTTCTCGCGTGGGATCTTCAAGCCGTTAGATGGTGTGGTATAGTGGAGAGAATGCTGAGCTGGGAAAGGTCACGCTTGTGCTCATTTCTCTGCTTCCCCTGCTAACTTCGTGGCAGAGCCAAGTTAACAGGCAAACTGCAGCTTTTCTAGCCCCTCTAGAGCAGACGCCTGTTGGGGTTTGTGTATGACCCTTTATCTTCTGAATCTTGTCCTTTTTCCTTTTACTAAAGTTTAACCACCTGCTAGTCCCAGTCTGTTAAATCCCACACGTGGGCTGAAGTGCTCTAGCCAGCCGGTGGGTGCAGACCCCGTGAGGAGGCTGCCGGAGGCCTGAATCCTAAAGGGTTAAGGCCCAGGCTTCCTAGGTGAGTGGTGAGTTCTGGGCCCACAAAGCACCCACACACAGGTTAAGCTGCCTGCCGCTAGGGACCTAGCTGGTGCCCGGGGGTACAGAACCGCTTTTAGAGCAGCTTGTTATGGAAACCAGTTTATAGTTGTCTGAGGGGAATCCAGCCTTAGGCGCCCAGGGGCACCAGGAAGACTTGAACTTGACTGTTCAAGGTGCAGATACCGGAGAGGTTAGGAAACATACAGATGGTTTGCTTCCACAAATCTGAACAAAATGATGAGTTGTGATTGTACCAGTTGAGGAACTTAAGTAACATTTAAGACTGTATGCAATTACATTTTTCACTTGATTTAATTTACCGTGTGGCAGATACGTCAGTTACCTAGTTTCTGACAGTAGCTTGAAAGGCAAAGGCATCCAACAATTTACACAGAAAATGACGTTCTGGACTCCCTCAGTTACCCTGGTAACAGAATGCTTTGAGGACAGGACTTTCGGCCCTTTTAACACTGTGGTGGCTGTGTGGAAGTGGTTTCCTAGCGTGTGTTTCTGTCCTTCGCATTTATTTTTTTTTATATTTTATTTTTAGACGGAGAGGGAGGGAGAAAGAGGGAGACACAAATCGATGCGAGAGATACATTGATTGGTTGCCTTCTGTCCATGTCCTGACCTCGGACCAGGCTGCAACCCATGCAAGTGCCCTGACCTGGGACTGAACCAGCGACCCTTCGCTTTGCAGGACATCACCCAACCAACTGAGCCACAGCGGGGACGGCTAAGTCTGCAGTTGTTGAAAAACCCTGCTCTACAATGTGGTCCAGGGGTGTCAGACTCGTTTTCACTGGGGGCCGCATCAGCCTCCGGGTTTCCTTCAAAGGGCCGAATGTAACTTTAGGACTGTATAAATGTAACTACTCCTTAACTAGGGGCAAGGAGCTTGGCACTGCCGCCAGGTAGAAACAAGGTGCCGGGCTGGATTTGGCTCGGGGGGCCTTGTGTTTGCCATCTGTGCTATAGTCAGTCATCTCAGTCACAAAGGCAGAACGTCTTAGCTAGAAAAGCCCTCCGAG